AGCCAGAAGCATATATCCTCTGACTACCGCAAACTGTATACTTTTATTTTCTTTCAAATAAAATTCTCTTTGTCTAGAGTCCTTTCTCTCTCTTTTTAAATAGCACTCATGTAAAATGTCTGGCACTTATTAGGCCCTCGAATATATGTTTTCCTGTCTGTATTATATTTTACCATCACTATTTTATGGGGAATAATCAGAAATACCTGCACTGTGGAGTCAATCCAGCTTCTCACGGGCAAACAGAGAACTGAGGCGAATTATTCTGTTTTGATGCAATAAACCAGAGGATTTCGGCTTAAACTAACTGCTTCTCCTTACTTATTCACGTTAGTTAGGCAATCTAAATTTCTGTTTCCAAAGAACAGCTCCAATTTTTAAACAGTTTCCTTTCTTTTCCTTTGTACATTCTAATCTTGAGTTCCCATTTCACTTCCATTTACCGTGCACTTGGAGGAACTTAGACTTGAATGCTGTTTCCACAGTAACAAGCCTCCTCCGGGTGATAATGGCCCTGGGAATTGAGTTCTCAAGTGTGTTGTACACAAGCCCTTGACTCTCAGTACCCAGCACAGACCATCGGCTCCAAGTCTTGCCCGTGGTGATCAGGGACAGTCCCTGCCTGGCAAACACTGCTGGGAGCCAGAAGTCCACGGTTCCTCAGCAGGGTTTGTGTGAACCGAGGAACCCATCTTTGCCTGGCACAAGGAGAGTAAACCATCTCAAGTACAATGTCCCATATCTATCTCAGCTTCTGCAGCCCTGAAGAGCTGAAAGTCAGCTGTTGGGTAAAAGGAGTTTCTGTTTCTCAGAGCTACCCGGTGGACTGAATTTTTCTAATCTCTTGAGTTTTCCAGGTGGATACATAAAGCATGCTTAAACCCATAGCATTTTTCTCATCACTGCATTTCCAAGTCCTATTTATCCTTCAGGCTTGAGCTCATCTTACTCTCTGTATTAAATTATGTTGTTATTGGGAACACCTTTAGACTATAGAAAAGTACAAAAATACAGGTAATGGTATAGCAAACAATTGTGTACTATTAGATAGTTTTTATATATTTTTTAAATTTATTTCAGAGAGGGAGAGAGAGAGGGGGAAACATCAATGATGAGAGAGAATCATTGATCGGCTGCCTCTTGCATGCCCCCCACTGGGGATTGAGTCCGCAACTCAGGCATGTGCCCTTGACCAGAATCGAATCCAGGACTCTTCAATCTGTAGGCCATCGCTCTAACCACTGAGCAAAAGTGGCTAGGGCTATTAGTTTTTATTTATTAAAAAATGTATTACTGATAGTTGCTTTTGAAGTAGCTTTTCTACCTGTTCCCAACAGGATTCTTTCCCCTCTCTTCAGAAGCAAAATGTATCTCTTAGTTGGGCTGTTAGGTGGAGTTTTGAATGGTGTGCCCTTTTCTGAAATGCAGATTTTCCCAAGAAGTACAGTTTCAGCTCTAACATGACCAAACCCTATGGCCCCTTCCCCATAAAAGCATGAGAAGATCCTATGGTGCAGGGCACTCTGGAGCTTCAGTGGGGTCCACCATGGCTACTGTGACCACTAGCCCTCTTTTGACCTCCCCAGCTCCCTCTAATTCTTGTAGCATTGAGCATTTGGTCCAGTTTCCAATCATTTATTTTGTACCCACTTTATGGATAGAAAATGTATTGTTTCCTAAGAAGATAATAAAATCTTGAAGCAGTATCATTCCCCTTGTGTAACAAACTGGGAGAAAGCCCTTGTGCTGGAGTAGTTTACACATGAAAGCCGATCTCCCCAGCAGAGAAGTGTACCACGTAGAAGTGTGCTTAATTTTATAGAATAAATGATGCTGCAGCCATCCAACAGTTATTGATATCCTATTATGATCTAGTTTATGAATTAAACACTATAAATCCTACCTAATAAAAGAGTAATATGCAAATTAACTATCACTCCGCTACACCCACCAGCCACACCCACCGGACAATCAGAGCAAGTATGCAAATAATCCCAACCAAGATGGCTACAGCCACAGAGAGCAGGAAGGAGGCTTGGGTTTCCCAGGAAATGGAAGACTTTTATAACTGAAACTTTGTAGCCTTGAGTGGAGGCCTAGGCTGGCCAGGGTGTGTGGAAAGCTTGGCTTTCTCTATTGCCGGGGAAACCCAAGCCTCCATCCTGCTCTCTGTGGCTGCAGCCATCTTGGTTGGGGTTAATTTGCATTCTCGCTATTATTGGCTGGTGGGCATGCCTGGTGGGCGTGGCTTGTGGGTGTAGCAGAGTGATGGTTAATTTGCATATTACTCTTACATTAGGTAGGATAGTAGTTAAAACAGCATGGTTTTTGCATATAAACAGACCCATAGCTCAATGGAAAAGAAAGGAGAGTCCAAAAATAAACCCACAGATAATTTATGCAATTGAGCCAAGAATGGGAAAAGGACAGTCTCTTCAATAAATAGTGTTGGGGAAACTGGACAGCCGAATACAAAAAAACATGAATTGGGACCATTATATTATACCATATCCAAAAGTTAACTGAAAAATGGATTAAAGACTCGAACATAAGAAGCATAAAACTCTTAGAAGAAAACATGTGGTAAACTCCTTGTCATAGGCCTTAGCAATTATATTTTTAATTTGACACCAGAAGTTAAAGCAAAACAAAAGTAAAAATAAGTAAGTGGGATTGCATCAAACTAAAAATATTCTACATACCAAAGCAAGCAATTGACAAAATAAAAAAGGCAACCTACTAAATGGGAGAAAATATTTGCAAATTATATATCTGATAAGAAGTTAATATTCAAGATTCAAAGAACTCATACAACTCAGTAACCAAACAAAAATCTAATTTAAAAATGGGCATAAGATATAAATAAAAATTTATCTAAAGGTGGCCAACAGGTACATAAAAAGTTGATGAATATTATTAATCATAAGGGAAATGCAAATTAAAATCACAATGGGATATCATCTAACACATGTTAGAATGGCTATTATAAAAAAAGGCAAGAAATAACTAGTGTTGGTGACGATGTGGAGAAAAGGAAACCCTTGAGCACTCTTGGTAGGAAAGTAAGGTAGGGTAGCCACTATGGAAAACAGTATGGAGATTCCTCAAAATTTTAAAAATAGAACCAGCATATGATCCATCAATTCCACCTCTGGGTATTTATCTGAAGAAAATGAAAAAACTAAATTGGAAAGATATATGCACCCCATGTTCATTGCAGCATTGCTTACCACTGCAAAGATATGAAAACAACCTAACAGTCCATTGATGGATAACTGTATAAAGAATTTGTGATATCTATACCTATCTATATCTACATCTATATCTATATCTACATCTACATCTATAATAATAAAATCATAATAAGCTAATTAGACCAGACAACTGGACGACCTTCCGGATGAAGCTTGGCCTGTGAGGGCCGAGGCAAGTTGTGACGGCTGCGAAGGCAGAGCCCCTTGCATGAATTTCATACATTGGGCCTCTCGGCTATATATAATGAAACAATATTCAGCCACAAAAACATGAATGAAATCTTGACAAGTGCTTCAGTGTGGATGGACCTCAAAGGGCATTCATTATGCTATGTGAAATAAATCTAGACAGACAAAGACAAATATTAAATGATCTCTCTTTTATGTGAAGTATAAAAAATAAAGCTCATTGATACAGGCAGAAGCAGGGGGTAGAGGATGGAAGAAAGATGAAGGGGGTAAAAAAAAATTTTGTCAAATATTTATGTTCTAGAGGCCCAAGGCATGAAATGCGTGCAGAGCAGGCCTTCCTTTTCCCAGCTGCTGGCACCAGCTTCCCTGTGGCACCCGGGACTCAGGCTTCCCTCACAGCCCCGGCTTCATTCGGAAGGATGTCCAGTCTAATTAGCATATTACGCTTTTATTATTATAGATTAAATGCATAAAGGTTTGGTTTCCCCATCTTATGTGATATCTCAAATAATTATGATGCATTTTTAAAATAATTATTTATGGTTTAAGTGTGTGAATGGCACCCATGACTTAAATTAAGGCTATATTATTAATTTTATAACTTGTTTGTATTCTAGGAATTCTTAAATGTTTAGTTATCTTTTTCTAAAACAACTTAAAAATTAAGAGTGTTTGCCCAAACAACTGAATAAGAATTGTTTACGTTAGACCAAATCATCAGTACCACTGGTTTCTTTACCAGAGTTTGTAAATGTGTTATTGCACCTCATTCTTTGCCTTGCATTGGCATCCAATCACAGATAGTAGATAGAGAAACTGCCAAGTCTAGTGTTATGGGACTTACACAGAATCTTTGTGCCGGGGACTGTGTGTGAACACAAATTAAAGCTGTCCTTCAGCTTGGATTGCTGAAATACACTTGGCCCCATATTTCATTCTGTAATCTGGAATTGAAATCAAGCTAACTAAACAAACAAACATTTTAGTGAAATTCTTTATGAATTTGTTCATGCATATGCCTTATTGATGGACAAATTGCATCACCATCATTATAATTATTATTATTATTATTATTATTATTATTAACTAGACCAGTGGTTCTCAACCTTTCTAATGTTGCGACCCTTTAATACAGTTCCTCATGCTGTGGTGACACCCAACCATAAAATTATTTTCACTGCTACTTCATAACTGTAATTTTGGTACTGTTATGAATTGCAATATAAATATCTGTATTTTCCGATGGTTTTAGGCTCTACAAAAAAATAATGTTATGGCTGGGGTCAGCACAACACGAGGAACTGTATTAAAGGGTCGCAGCATTAGAAAGGTTGAGAACCACTGAACTAGACAGTGTGCCATCTTTTTAACTGACACCATTTACAATTTCACATAAAATATCCCTGTAATGTTATCTCCATTAAAAATGCAACCAAGCACCATGAGTGTAAATTTATCAAAGTCACAGAAATTGTTCTGGTCAGTCGTCAGCCAGGAACTGAATATCCTGAATAAACATTTATCTATAATTTGAATTTCTTTCCCCCCCCCTAGACACTGCAAATGGATGTCAACAAGCTGAACATAACCTTGCTCCGAGCTTTCCTCCAGGGAGTGGCGGCCGCGTTAGGACTCTTACCCCAGCAAGTGCACATCAACCGCCTCAATGTAAGATGCCTCCGTTTCCCTTTCCCAGACACAGGCTTTGGTCTTTCTGGAAGGTCTCAGTATAAAGAACAATGATTTAAGACGCCCATGCTATAGTTCCACGGTCCCTGAGCCAACTCTAGTATGCCAATGGTTTTGGTAAAGGAAGTTTTACTGCAGTAAGCCACAGTCACATGTTTACATATTGACTATGGCTACTTTCAGGCTACAGTGACAGGGCTGAGTCATTCTAACAGATTGTTGGGCTAACTCAAAGATTAAAATACTAGCTCTCTGGCCCTTTACAGAAAAAGTGTATCAACCCTCTCATCGTTCAAGGCGAATGCCCTTTTAGGCATGAATAAAGGGACCCAATATCTCACCAACCTGGCATTACGCCCAAAACATTCTTCCTAAAAGTTAAACCTTCTGCATCAGTGAAAGCATTGTCTCCAAGAGGCACCTATGAGAACTCCTTCAAGGTTAGCAATAGGATGAAGGAGACTGGATGCACAGACGGAGGATTTTGGTTAAAAATAAAGGAAAACCAATCCCTGAGGATAGCACTCCGAATGGAATGCAAGAACAGATGGTTCTGAAAAGCCTAGAGAAAACTTGGATAGTTATGTGGGGTGGGAATGAGGCAAACCCAAAAGGTTTTATGAATAGAGCCCACATTAGACCCATCTATCCATCAATCACCCACATCCTTCCTTCCCCCCCTTTTCTCAGTGTTTGGGAACCTTGATGTCATCCAACCACCTGTTCCCATCTGCACCTGAAGGCGGGCAGGAGCAAAGGCAGAGAAAGGCAAATAAAAGCATATGCCTTTCTCTTTGTAAAGAGCTAATTGCTCTAGGTTCCTGTGAAAAGGGACTTTGGAATCGTCTTACAGTTTTACAATTGTTCTTCATTTCCACCGCTGTGGGAACTCAAGCCAGGACCGCACTGTCCCCTGGCCTTACATTCTGATTCTCCTGCTGGAGCTCAGCTTTCTACGGAATCAACATCCTCATTTCCAGCGAAGGGAATTTGCTTTTTACGTTGGTTTAGGGATTTTTGTTTCTTTTCATTGTGGAGGAGTGCGTTGTTTCCTTCCCCATAATGACTTTATTCTCTAAGTCAACTATTTTCTGGGATCAAATAAGCTTAAAAAAACACACAAAGTTTTTAGCTCAGTACCATAGAAGAGGAAATACAGTATTCCCTAGTGCCCTGAATGAGGGAAATGGGTTTTATAGCCAGAGTATCTTATTTAAATGAGAAGCTGTAGAGATGCAGGTACCATAGATGTCTTAGCTCTGTGCAGGGGTGAAAAGGGGTTTGCCACACCTAGGCAGGAACACGTATATCCCAGGGAATATTAGCGGCATTTACCACACCTGTTTCTGGGAGCAGTTTCTTTAATGGGTAGAGTTATGATGATACCCCAGGCAGCAGAGCATGGGGATGAAGAGCATGTAGTTTGGAGACGCAGCCGTACCCCACTTCCAGCTTGGCTGTCTCCCAGCTGTGTGACTGTAGGCAACCTACTTACGAGTCTTTGATTGCAAAATGGAGAGAACTATAACACCTTTGTCCTGGAATGGTTTTAAGCATTAAATGAGATGACAGATTTAACGCACATAAGAATGTGTCAGGCAAAAAACAAGTGCTCTATTCTCAATGTTGTTATTAGGTCACAAACGATTTAAATTATTATAAACACGTTTGACATCAGTATTATGCCATACTTAGTCATTGTCTGTTGTTCCCTGTTTTGTTTTCTGGATTGCTAGTAGTATTTTATACCTGGCTGAAGTAGTATTTTAATACCTGGTAAATGGCATTAAAAGAAAATTTTCTAACATGAGAGAACTCCATGTCAAAAAGAAAAGACTAGCAATAATTCCTTCTATAAGTACATGATATGTATAACTTTTAAAGAGACTCTGATAGATTTCTGTGGTGAGTTTATTTTTTATGTGTCCCGTCTGCCATTTATGGTAGGAAAAAAAAAATCCTCTCTCTGCATTTCAGCTAATGGGGTAATACTAATAGGAAAATATCCTGTATTTCTACCCACGGGATAGACTTTAAAAGTGTGATGTTTGGGGTGAAGAACAAAATCAGGGAAGCAACTTCAAAGCTTATGCAGCATCACCTTCCTTAGTGATGCCAGCCTTCCCGTAATATAAGTTACAAGGAAAACATGGAGTGGCAACGTCTAATAACTGTACTATTGCATTAGGTTTTATTTAATTCATTTGATTTTATAATGCTTCTCTAAACAAAATTACTCAGGGACCATCTGAACAGTATATTTCAAAACAAACAAGACAGAGAGACTCATAAATAGAGAGCAGTCTGACAGCTCTGGGGATGGGCATGGAGAGGCAGGGGGCATGGAGGGATTGAGCGACAAAGGAAAGACATGAAGAACTCATGGACATAGACAATGGTGTGGTGAGTATGTGGGGGAGGGAGGTGGGTGGAGGTGGAGGTGGAAGAGGGCTTAGATGGCATAAATAGTGTGTGTGTGTGGGGGGGGGTATTTTAATTATAATATGGAATGGAAAAATTAACCAGCTTCCAATGAAATATAAAATTACAAGTCTTGAAATGTCAATTACTTGAGAGAAGGCCATTTGAAGACTTTGGGCTCTGGGCTGATATTCTTAAGAATAACTGATAAATGTAATCTCCAAGATGCCTTTTGAGATTCCAGGGTTCCAATTTTCCGTGGTGTTTCTAAAGGAAGGTAAAAATACTTCCCAGCCTTGTTTGACAATGTCTATTAACGTGTACAAATCACCGGCTTTTACTAGGGAAAGAAGAACAGCGTGGAACTCTTCGTGTCTCCCATAAACGGAAAAGGAGGCGTGTCTGACGCCCTGCCATCTGAGGAAGTGCTGCGCTCACTTAACACCGATGTCTTGCATCAAAGTTTGTCCCAATTTGGAATCATAGAAGTTTCCCCTGAGGTATGTTGTTGCATGGAAGATTTCATCTGAAACTCTGCCGTCAGACCCTAGCTGCTTTGGCTCCGTGGATAGAGCGTCAGCCTGCGGACTGGGTTCCGGGTTTGATTCTGGTAAAGGGCACATGCCCAAGTTGCAGGCTCGATCCCCAGTAGGGGGTGTGCAGGAGGCAGCAGATCAATGATTCTCTCTCATCATTGATGTTTCTATCTCTCCCTCTTCCTTCCTCTCTCTGAAATCAATAAAAAGTATATTTAATAAATAAAAATATATTTTAAAAATCTAGACATATCGATTCTTAGTCTAATCCCACTTTTCAGCAAAGCTTATTGCCTCTCATTTCAGCAAATATCACACGTGTGGTATAAAGCTTTGGTATAAGCTCTGGCTGGTATGGCTCAGTTGGTTGAGCCCATGCACCAAAAGTTCACCCTTTTAATTTCTGGTCAGGGCACATGCCCAGGTTGCAGGCTCAAATTTTAGTAGGGGGTAAGCAGGAGGCAGCCAATCTATATTTCTCTCTCTCTCTCTCCCTCTCACTTCTTCTCTCTCTCTAAAATAAAAATCAATAAAAACATTTTTTAAAAAGGCTTTGGTACAAGATTGAAACCCCAAAACCACTTAAGATATGTGTGTGACCCTGGGCAGGTGATTTAATTTCTGTGAGATTAAGTCTTTGCATGATGTCAGCCTCCTTGAGGATCAGTTTCTTCATATCCAAAATGGGTATAGAAAAAAAAAATGGGTATAGTCCTTATTTTATCGGCTAGGAATATGAATTAATTTTTAAAACATTTGTGGAAATCCTCCTATACAGGAGGCACTGAACAAATATTTGAATGCAGGATTGATTGGCAGAATGAAAATGTATGTCATCATTGAACTGGTCTTTCAGCATTTAGTGTCACCCTGATCCCTGCCCTACACACACACACACACACACACACACACACACACAGTGTGTGTTTTCTCTCTTGGCACCGGAATAACCTTTCTAAAATAAATCTGGCCATGCCCTCCTAATGTCATGGTTCTCTTTGGCCTCCTAAATATTTCGGAATCAAGCATGCATTTCTCAATATGGCCCATGACCCTTTGTGTGCTAGGCTTTATAACTGTTCAACAACACTCTCCTAGTTTTTGCTTCAGCGATTCCAAACTTCATTGATACCGTGACACCTCCGTACTTTCTCTTCCTTCCATGGTTTTGCATGTGTTAATCCTTCTACACACCTTTCATGTTTCAAGGTCAGTCTACCGCAGAGCGAAGCCTTCCCTAGATGTGCATGCTCACTGACTGGTGTTCTCCTTGAGCTTACTATAAAAACCCCTTATCCTCTCTAGGTCTTCAAGTCCATCCCTATACTCCAGCTTCCTCAAGAGACACACCACGTCACTTTATCTGCGTCCTTTGTGCCTCACTCAGTGCGTGCTATTCAACGGGCACAGCGGTAGCCAAACACTATGCTGTTGGTCTCCAGAGTAAGAAGATAAATGAATAAGCAAACAAATAAAGTATGATTGTTGCTTTCAGTGGGATTGTTCTCTAATAAGGCAGATAGGGTACAAGCAGATATGGAGGACGCAGGGATGTGTATGATGATGTTGTCCTGTTGCACTGTGGGAGCTTTGAGGAAGAAGAGCCCAGAGGAAAAGAGCAACATGAGCTTAGTCACCCACACCCCTCCCCCGCACGCAACACCGAAGGGGCTTCCCTTTGTGCATCTAACCGAACCCCAACCTATGTGTCCAGGTCCTTCACAGACTGACTTGCACACATTTTCCCCAGGACAATTCTTTAAAATGTAAAAAGACCCTTGGACTACTTTATTCTGCTGCCTGTGAGCTTTCAGGGGCTTACATAGCCTTCTTCCCTGTTGCTTTCATCTGAGTTTAAATACTCCTCTTAATGCTTTAGGGCACATGTGTCAAACACAAGGCCCGTGGGCCAAATCCGTCCCGCCAGGCCTTGCAATGTGGCCCGCACCGCGCTGTCATCACTGCACTCCGCTGCATTTCCATCACAATGACAGTTTATGACTGTTCAGTAAACCATTCGGCCCGCGATTTAGGCTGGATTTTAGATTTTGGCCCCTTCTCTGATTGAGTTCGACACCCCTACTTTAGGGATATGGCAGATTTGTGAACCAAGAGGAACTCACCATTCAAAAATCTAGTTAATATCAAGTACACCCTTGGGGGTCCTCCAACACCCCCCAGCCCCCAGCTGGGTGAAAGGTGAAGAGCTCAGCCTGACTCTCATCACAGCACTATTAGCCCACAAAGACCACAGGTCTGTATTTTAATAATGAAAGTGGATTTGGTGGTCAAAACTTAATTTTTTTTTCTGGTGAAATTGTGGGAATTTAGAGATCTAGGAAATCTAGACCCTCAGAAATGTTACCTTACAGGAGCTAACCCGTATTTTAATTGGCTACCAGGAGCATTTCATCAAGGACAGGTGAACTGATTGAGCCTTTCGCAGGAGCTTTTTAAAGGGGCCCAGCATTCCCCTCTGACCTGAAGCCGTAAATGCAGAAATGGGGGCTAGTGCCCTTATGGGGGCTTCAGACACGGACGGCCCAAAGGGGCCCCCAAAGCATTTGTGAGTAGCTGTTCCAGCTGTTAACAATAAAGGGTTTCCCGGCTTCTTTATTCATCTCTGCGGTTACTGTGTGATGGCAGCTTATGCCTCAGCCCATTCTTCCACATTTTTTATCCTAAAGTTATGGCTCTGCTGTGAGAGCATGTTTATGAAGAGGGGAAAATGAATATTGGGGGTTTTTGTTGTTTTTCATCCTTTGCATGGGTCACAGAACATAGTGAACCATGTCTCAAAGCATCTATTCCTAAACGAACATTATCTTATTTCAGGGAAGGCTGTGTCTTTTTGTTGTTGCCATTTCTTTATTAGAAAAAAACTCTTGAGAAAGAAAAAAAAACAAATAGAGAGAATTATTTTTGTTTATTGTCTGTTTTCCTTTTGAAACTATGTTGTTGTTTTTTTGAGGGAGAAAAAGGCATTTAAAAAAAAAAAACTACTTTTATACAGTACCTAGAACATTATACGCACACAAATAGTATTATTTTAAGATGCTCATAAAGATAAAACTAAACTTCTTACCTAATAAGTCAAATCTCAGGAAAATTCAATTAAATTCATTATTTTGTTTCCATTTTTAAATGTTTTTATAAATATTCATTGAAACAATAAGTTTTGCATTTATACTAAAAATGACTTAGGATTCAGTTGTTGTTGTGTTTTGTTGTTGTTGTTTTAATATATTTTTATTGATTTTTACAGAAAGGAAGGGAGAGGGATAGTTAGAAACATTGATGAAAGAGTACATCAGTCAGCTGTCTCTTGCACACCCTTTACTGGGAATGTGTCCACAACCAAGGTACATGCCCTTGATCGGAATTGAATCCAGGACCCTTTAGTCCACAGGCCGACGCTCTATCCACTGAGCCAAACTGGTTAGGGTGGATGTGGTTGTTTTTGTTCAGTTGGAAATGACTCCAGTTTTACAGGTCTTATATTGCAAAGAAGGAAGTTCCCTTCATTAAATAACAGGCCACTGTGTCAACTGATACTTCCATGGAATATTTACAAAGAGGGGAAAAAATCATACCAAATGAATATAAGCCATAATCCGGGAGTTTGGTGATTGTTTCCTAGAATTAGGAACATTAGCCAACAGTCTAAAGCAGTGGTTCTCAACCTTCCTAATGTCATGACCCTTTAATACAGTTCCTCGTGTTGTGGTGACCTCCAACCATAAAATTATTTTCGTTGCTACTTCATAACTGTAATTTTGCTACTGTTATGAATCATAATGTAAATATCTGTGTTTTCCGATGGTCTTAGGTGACCCTGCTGGCGGTTCTCAACCTATGGATCACAACTGTAGAGCCTAAGACCATCAGAAAACACAGATATTTGCATTACGATTCATTAACAGTAGCAGAATTACAGTTATGAAGTAGCAACGAAAATAATTTTATGGTTGGGGGTCACCACAACATGAGGAACTGTATTAAAGGGTCTCAGCATTAGGAAGGTTGAGAACCACTGGTTTAAAGCATTACAGTCCCAGCCATACAGAGCTGAGGAGGAAAACAATGTTAACACATGTTAGACCATTCAGACCGAACTGCTTACCCTGTGTATTGCACAGTGGGAATGTGCCTGCACCTAACAAAACGACATTACTGTAGGCTGCATCTCACTTATCTGCCTAAGTCAATCAACTAACCAGGTAACTTACAATATTTCTACTCCGTTCTCATTCTGTGCACTCGTCTCTTCTAAATATTAATAGATATGTCTCCTCCGCAGGGCAGGGACCACCCAGCCCTCGGGCTGTATAAGACCCTAAAAATCATTTGTTCTGGCCCTGCCATGGCATTGGGGGCAAGTTAATGAAATGTTTGACTAAATATAGCAGGGTGATTGTGAAGTTGAAATTTTTGTATGGCCCTCGAATGATATTATAAATATCCAAATGGCCCTTGGCGAAAAAAGGTTCCCCACCCCTGTGACCTAAAGCCTCTATGTTATATCTCTTAGCATTTGGGAATCTCTTCCACCTTCGGGGATCAGAATGGGTTTAAAAAACAAATGAACAAAAAAACTATAGTTCATCAAATTATTTTTTAAATATATTTTATTGAGTTTTTGCAGAGAGGAAGGGAGAGGGATAGAGAACTAGAAACATCAATGAGAGAGAAACATAGACCAGCTGCCTCCTGCTCACCCCCCACCGAGGATATGCCTACAACCAAGGTACATGCCCTTGACCAGAATCGAACCCGGGACTTTTCAGTCCACAGGCTGATGCTCTATCCACTGACCAAACTGGCTTTAGCTAGTTCATCAAATTATTAAATGGGATATAGAAAAGCCATTCTCATTGATATAGTGATACAGGAACATGCCCAAATTTTAAATCATAAGACAAAACAAAAATCTAACAACTTTCACTGCGACAAAGTTAAAGGGAAAATATTATTAGAATATCCGAAATAAGATATAAAGATGATATAAGATAATAAGATACAATAGCACTGGCTTGACCCGGCCATGGAGTCTCTGAACTATTGAACCCCCGTTCTCCTGACAAAATATAAAAGGCATCACTTCAACCTCATGCAAAGGTTAGATGGGAGAGTCTTATGAATTATCTTCTCTTGATTTGTGGAATGTTCACTACAAACTTTTCCATTTATTATCCTGCCCTTATCAAGTCTTTTAGATCTCTGTACAAATATAGTGGTGCTCAGCAGGAATAACGTGACTCAGAAGGAAATCTATTTACCAAGAAAGAGCAGTGACTAAGTTCTGGGAGTACAAAACATGTGTCTTTCTAACCGGGGGTGGGAGAGTGGGGGAGGGAGGCCAATTATTCCATCGTTGCTGCTTTAGGTAAAAGAAAAGCAAAACAGACATGTCTTACACAGAAAGGAACATGTTGTTATTCCACAGGTTAGGAACACAAAATCTCTTACCACCCACCTAACCACCCCTTTTGAACCACATTTCACATTAACTAAAGCTCACATTCTCGTGCTTAAATTTGACAGTTTATGCTGCCTACTTGACGGCTTAAATAGTTGGCATTTATAGCAAGAAATAGATGCTATTTAGTTGCAAAAAAAACCCAACTCATTGACATATTTATACCTGATTTCTTCAGGAGTGCTCTTTTTATTAGTTGCCAGCTATGTTTACGGACACATTGGACTAAAATATGTCTGGATGAGGTCAAAGAGTAAAAGATGGGTTGGCACCTGAAACCGAGATTACCTGTCCAGAAAGACACTTGTGTTCCAATCATTTCATCAAGTATTTTCAGATTCTCCAACCACTTATTATTCACATATTTTAAAACTATATCTCAAAATTATTTCTTATGTCCATGAATTTGTCTGTGTCTTAGAAAGTAAGCAAGATGGTACTAGTACATCAATGCTTTTACAAGCAAAGGATGTGGAAACTCAACTATTTCAAGCAATAAAAGATTCCCTTGAATTATTTTTAATCACAATTTAACTAATTTAATTTAACAGATCCTCTGTTCTGTCTTATTCAACTCCCCACTCATTGAGCTCCAGAATGAAAGTTTTCATAAAACGTTCTTCCAGGGGAATGTTTCATTTTGTCTAATTTACAAACCATGAAAGTATTCTTTCTTTCTTTCTTCTTTCTTCCTTTCTTTCTTCCTTTCTTTCTTCTTTTTTCTTTCTTTTATTTCTTTTTTCTTCTTTCTCCTTCCTTCCTTCCTTCCTTCCTTCCTTCTTTTCCTTCCTTCCTTCCTTCCTTCCTTCCTTCCTTCCTTCCTTCCTTCCTTTTTTCCTTCCTTCTTTCCTTCCTTCCTTCCTTCCTTCCTTCCTTCCTTCCTTCCTTCCTTCCTTCCTTCCTTCCTTCCTTCCTTCCTTTCTTTCGTTAATGCTGCAAAGGTAATTAGCAATGATTTCTAAGTTCAGAGACAAGGACAGGTTTTATTCAAGGCTTTTTTTCTTATTTGTGAGACGACTACTATTTATTTCTCATGGTTCTGTGGATGGACTAGGATCAGCTAGGTTGTTCAGTCCCAATGGCGTCGCCCCAGTGGTTAACTTTTAGCTGGGAATCCGTTTGCAGCTGAAATGTCCAAGATGATCTCTCAGTTCCCAGGGCCTTTCTCCACGTGGCCGTCCATTATTCAACATCTTGTTCAAGACTTTCTTCCTCACTGGAGACACTATCCCAGGACAGACACTCTCACAAAAGCGGGGAAAGGCAGCCTTCAGCAAAGTGGGAACATTGTACCTGATTCAGCCGCCTCTGTATGTCTTTCCTAATTGTGGGCCGTTTGGTTTCAGGTTGAAGTTTCTTTAACTATAAATCTATAAATTTCATGGAATCATAAAACTAAGAGCATTCTAAAACTTGATTTAGTAGATATGCTTTTTTAAAAAAGAATAAGTGAAATAAAATTAAGACACTCACATTTTATTCATGCTTTTCCACCTCCAAAGTAGTAAACAAACAAACAAAAAAGTATAAATAAAAATAAAAACTATTTCACTTCTCATTACTAAATAATTCTGGACTTTTTTGGTGTTCCCTGACTCTTAAGTAAAAATGGAATATTCTAACAATTTATGCAGGTGAGGTTGGTGCTTTCATCAGACTTTGACAAATAAGACTGCATTTTAAAAACAATGAAAAGGTTTGATAACAGAGGAGGAAAAGGAGGAGGAAACAATCCTGACGTCCTTGCTCTGTTTACTCATGTATCTTGAGATGTTTGTTTGCACCTGTTTCACTTTAGTTGAAGAGTTAAGAGCTGTATTACAGCACGTCGCCCAGGGTGTTGCTGTGGGAGGGGACTTCACGCAGGGAAAAGAAAGCTTCAAAACAATTTCCTCCAACGCAGAGCAGAACGGAACTCTCCTACCTGTGAACCAGGTCATTTCCAAGAGAGACTGGGAGGGACATTGCCCTGTGGGGCCTGCCTGCTCCAGGGGGCAGTGCCCGCCTCAGAGCAGTGAGAGAAGCGGCGCTGGCAGCGGGGAATGTAGGTGTGTGCCACTACACTGAATGGGAGAAAGCTAAAAATATGTTCAGTGTCTGATAAGCACGCCCGTCTCCTCTGGCTCTCGGCTCTCCTGTAACGCCGGACTTTCTGTTTTGCCTTTAAAGAAAAATGTGCTACAAGGGCAGCATGAAGCGGACAAAATCTGGAGCAAAGAAGGATTCTATGCGGTTGTCATATTTCTCAGCATCTTTGTTATGATAGTAACGTGCTTGATGGTAAGTTTGCCTCTTTTATCTGTTTTATCCCTTGCTGAGCCCACTGCTTAATATTATTGGACGCATTTGCCATTCAAATGAATGCTGAAAAGACCGGGAGCAGGAGCAGGACTGTGATCCTGCTAAATTGGGGAATGGCATACCTGACAGCGGAGCAGTAGCTGCAGGAAACCTGGGCGATTGTGGGATTCTGACCTGCAGCGGGGAGCTGGGGCTGCACGAGGCTTTTAGTAACTTGATCAACCCTGAGAAGGGAGCTTTTGAAGAGGTTCCCGAGGTCACTAAAGCCCTAAGAGTCACTCAAGTCCCCCGGCACACTTGGGCTTGCTTTACTCCTTCATTTATGACACTTTTATGGAACACTTTTTAAAAGAAATAATGTTTTTTAATGAGCAATCTGGCTCATTAAAAAGTGGTTGGTTAACTGAGTTCTTTTTAAAGGGCCCTGAGAGCATTTTATGAAATTCCAGGCACAGAAAAGACATTATAGACCCAAAGGCTGCACAATTCACTACCAACTAAATGTTTTTAGGTGAACGAATACCATAAAAGTGTAACTGCAAATAGCCCTTTAAATTACAAATTATGAGTGTGCAGCCTTTAAAGATATATTTCTAATTTTAAAAACAATAGACCCTGAAGTAAACCTAAGCTCTTTAAAGGAGGCAATGCTCTAAGGCATTGAATGAGTTAACAGTTACCCTTCAAATGGAAACGGATCTTCTTATTCTTTCGAAATTCTGTGATGTAACCTAAAACATTTGAAGTTTGCAAATGGGTTTAAGTAACTTTTTCCTGTGTGCTGCGTTCTTTTTAATTTTGCACATTTTTAAAAACATTCCTTCCTTAGGTTTCAAATACCCCCCACCCCGAAAGAAAAAAAAGAAAAAAAAAGACGTCCTACTATTTATTCTTTCTGCAATCCCCAGTGCTGCCAGCGTTTTATTGGATTTTGTTCCCTCATTTGTGCTCCCCCTGCTGGGAAAGGGTTTATGTTAGAAAGATTAGGGCTGTTTGAAAAGACAGAAGCTGAGTAGGTCCAAACTAAAGGGCTATAAACCAATTAAGGCCTTGACTAGGGTGATGGTAAGCACATTTCCTTGAATCTAAATACAGGAAGTAGTAAAAAAAAAAAATAATAATAATAATAACACCTAAAGCTTCCATCCTAATAAATTCAGGGGGACCTCCCCTGGGCCAGGCATTAAAAAAGATTTCTGCAAATTGTGGCCCAATAAACCAAAGCCTCGTGTAGGAATTGAGTGAGGAGATTGATTTGTATATATGAATAATGGTGGAGGTTCAGGGGAAAGCATTGTAGCGAGAGAAGGTGGGAGGCTGTGGAGACTGTGGCGGAGACCTCTGGGCGGTTTTCGGTGCTTTGGAAGGTGTGGTTTCTGGTTAGAGTTCCCTGTACTTTAAAATACCTGGTTCTCCGTTTCCTTAGCACAGGACATCTCCAGCGCCGACGAGCTCGCTCTTGTCAGGCACATTAGTACGTTTTTCTGCTTCACTGATGGAAAAGGATGCGAGAGCGGAAGATAGAAAGGGGTAAAGAGTGAGCAGAATGGAAATTGTTCGGGGGGGCGGGGGGGGGAATGGTGAGATTCGGAAGAGCAAAGACAAGGTTAAAGGGAGGGAAGAGGCGAGCCCGTGAGTATGAGAGGATGAGGGAGGCAGAGCAGAGCTTGCCGCTCATATGCAAGATTCTGCATTTCCAACCCACGGAGCGCCCACGAGTCTAAGATGATGGGAAAATCCCGCTGTGAGATTCTGGTCTCAGGTGGCCGAAGGCCCCAGAGCAGTCACTCCCTCCACCACGTGGGGCCAGGGAGCAGCTCTTCTTTTCCCAATATCGGCAAAGCAGCGGGGGAGAAGTCTGAAACCCAGGCAAGCCTGCCCCAAGGTTACTAGGGCCATTCGAGAAAGAAATATTTCACAGGTGTAGGTGGCTGGTGGGTCGATTCATCCATTCACTCAATCTATACATTCCTACAGAGGAGCCACGGAGGGCCTGCTGTTGGTACTGCGGGCAAAGGGAAGCACAAGACAGAGCAGTCTCTGTTCTCATGAGGGATTTTTTTAAATTAGTTGATATTTTAAAAAATCAAATAGTGAACATATTGTAGGATTCCAGGTTTATGACATTCTGTAAGGCAAACCTATAGAGACAATAAAAAGATCAGTGGCTGCCAGAGGTGGGGTAGGGCAGAGTGAACAGGTGAAGCAGATTGTTAGGTCAATGAAGCTATTCTGTATATTATAATAGTGAATACAGGGGTTGGAAAAGATAGGCTTACAGTTGTGAGTATAAAAAACAGAGTTTATTCTTGTATTTTGATTTATTTATTACTATATTATTATTATTATTATTATTATTAGCCTACTTTTGCCCACACCCATATATGACTTTATGGATTTGTACACAGTACAAGTGACCTTAATCTAGACTATAGACTCTGGTTAAATCTATCAATATTGGCTCAGCAATTATAACAGATATACCACCCTAATGCAACACGTTAGTAACAGGGGACATTGTTTAGGGAGGTAGGGGAGAAAGAGTAAAAGGAACTCTGTACTCTCTGCTCAGTTTTTCTATAAATCTAAAACTGTAAACCTAAGTTTATTAATTTAAAAAAATCTCAAATCATGTTAAGTGCCAGGAAGAGATAACATAAAGTGAGGGGGGGGAGGGCGGGCAAAGCAAGCTGAGACGTGTGCTTGCGGCAGGAAAATGTGGGCAGAGGCTAGGAGAGAACAGCTGAGGAGGGGTTAAGCTTGGCCTCTTTGAATCCAAGAAGCAGGAAGCTGCCGTGCTCTAAGCTGAGCTTGGATGTATGTGTTTAAAGATCAGGTTCTCTGCAGGCCCAGTGGTTGTGGACAGAGCCTGGGGCGGGCAGGAGAGGCGGATTCTGGGGGCTATTGTATTAGCCTGGTGAGGAAGGTGATGGTGGCCCCAAGGAGGAGCGGAGGAGAGGGAGAGAGAGGAAGGAGAATGGAACTGACAGGACTTTGCTGTGTGCTGATTCTCTGGGAGAAGGAAAGAAAAATTTAAGGATGATTCCTGCCTTATTTGGCTGACTATCTGGGTGGCGATGCTCCCATTCTCGGGCAGAGGCACACTTTAGGGGTGGGGAACAGTGAGGGAAGCAATACTTCTAAATGGTATTCTGATAATTTTTGAATTAATGAAAGAAAGTAGTAGAATGAACCAACAGGAGAACAAGCCATCAGTACATTAGAAAGGAGTTAATATTGACAGAAAAATTAATACCACCTAAGAGACAGGCTTAAGATGAAGTTAACAACCATTGACAAGTCAACAGTTCACACTGCGGGGGATGTCAAAAGCAATTCTCTAAAATAAGCTCATCTTTGTAAATGTTCCCATGTTTTTTTATAATGATCTTGATTTAAAGTTAAGCTTCTTACTTAGACCTCTCAGTAATAGTTATACTATCACTTTTGTGAATCTTAAATACATATCCCAATTCTGTTTCTCATAATTTTGTTGATTCCACGGAACAACAAAAGATATAACCCGGAATTTTTCTAGGGGCATTAATTATATTTATGAGAGATCAAATATCATTATTTGCATCCAGCCTTCCTACATACTATACAAATGAAAAGTATGTGATTTTATTATGAAATTATATAAGTAAATTGCTGTAATGGAGGTTCCGGATGCTGTATAATAATAACATAAGGCTTGGCAACATTTTTGAAATGTGGTTTATTGTTTACTTTTCTCAACATAAAAAAAAACAAAAAAAAAACAAAAAAAAAAAAACGTTGCCAGGCATAAAATTAGGCACGCATGACATTTCAAATGTGCAACTTATTTGGCACCTCTCATATGTGAATGTCCAGTGGGCGGAGTGACAAACAGACAAATACAGTTTTCTAAGAAAAAAAATGTGTGGGCAACTTCCAATCCATTCAGAATTGGTTCTTAAACTTGAATAAATAATAGAAAGAATAGACCTTCAAATGTACTTAGAGAATTCATGAAATATAGGTAGAGATATTTATAAGCCAGATTGCTTCTGGGAAGCCAGAAAACACACAAAAGTGGCTGTTTGGGTCAGAAAAGCTCTGGCATGTTTGAGCCATTTCCATGCCATACAAAGTTTCTCTGGTCCTGGCCTTGTTAGGTGAGGCAGGAAATCCGAGGTCAGCCCACCTGCTCAGCCTGAGCATCACTCAGTAAATACATGTCAAAGGTGGACATAAATAGCCACACTCTTCTAATTTGTTATGTATAATCCCTAGAGATTGAAGGAGATGGGATTAGAGTCCTAGCTAGAATTATTTGGTTCAAACCATTTTCCAAAGTAAATATATTTCTCAAACTAATTTTCAATTTTTTTTCTGTACTAATGAAAGTCATTTAGGTAAGAATACAATCCCCTTGCTAAATAGAATAATAATAATAATTTATTTCTTCCATTTATTGCGTAATTACTTGTGCTAAATTTACTGCCTGGTATTCAACATTCAGTGTATTTTAATACCACTTTGCTGAGTTATGATTAACATATAACAAGCTATACATGTTTAATGCATACAACTGGAGTCTAGGGATAAACATGCACCCATGAAAATAGCACCACAATCTATGCCATAAACATATTCATTACCTCCAATGTTCTCCTCTCTTCATTTAGTATTATTATTTTGTGTTGTTATAAGAACACAACGTAAGATCTACCCTTTTACAAAATCTTTAAATATATAAAATAGTGCTGTTAACTATAGGCTTTATGCATAAACACTTAATAGATATTCATTTCCTAATTTTACTGATGAGGAAACCATGGTTCAGAGAAATTAAGTAATTTGTCAAAGAACATGTGTAGGTGTGTATATAAGAGTATTTGAGGACAGGAATTGGGATTCAAGTCTAAGTCTATCTGGATTAAAAGTTTGAACTCTCTCACACCTGACTGGTGTGGCTCAGAGGTTGAATGCCAACCTATGAACTAGGAGGTCAA